TTTTTTATATGTATAAAATTTATATATTAATGTGTGGAGTTAGCCTGCATTCCTACCAATGCTCTTTATTTTTTAATGCCGACCTTGTCCCCAGAGAAAGCTTAAAAATATTGATGAGCACTCCTATATCTTTATCTAAAGCCCTCCTTAAATTATTTTCTTTTAAAAACTAAAAACCGTGCATGCTAACAACGATTAGTCAGGTGATGAGCTATCATAGTCCAGATTTCCTTGGCTTTTTTTATTCCTTGGGTCTTGCTTCTCACCTGTTTCCTATTTTATCTAAGAGAAATGACACAAACAGCATCTAATTAACAAACTCTGTCACATTACCAGTGTGTTAATTGGCTTTTAAAATAAATTGTGGTCCTGTCCCTTCCTCTGGAGCTCTGAGAGTCTCAACTCCTGCAGTAGGATGGTCCCTTCCTTTGTAGGGATCCTCATCTGGGAGCTCTCTGGTCCTGGGGCCCTCATGGAGGTCACAAAACCCTCAAGTGCAGGTAAAATAGACACTGAAGTACCTCATGGTGAAAGATTTTAAAACCGAGCTTCTCCACAGCACGGTCAACTTTGTATTAAAAGAGCAGAAGTATGCTTCGGAAATCACTGAATTTAAATGGGGTCTGATCACCAGGTGTACAAACAACTTTGGGTGCTACACTTGCACTGACTGGTATAAAATTGAGCATCTTTGTTCCTGAATCACTTCTGAAACTGGAATTTGCCTTTTTTTTTTTTTTTTTTTTTTAAAAAAAAAAAAAAGAGCCCTGAAGTTTACCTTGGTCACTGCAGGTCCAGACACATGCTTGTCCTCCTCCTGTGTGTGGGTGCTCCCCCAGCCCAGCACCCAGGATGGGAAGGCGAGCCAAAACCAGCCATGCTTGACTATACACTCACTTCGTGGCATCAACTTGCAAAGCCAAGCATGATGAGAAGTCATAACCCCCTTTTACCTTCCATTGTGCCTGTGGGACCAGACTGCAAAGCAATAAGCTCATGAGGAAGGCTTAATTAGAAAGCCACCAGACAAAACACTGATGTTCAAATCACTATTTTCAGTGATAACAGAAGAAATGAAAAGCCAAACTGAGGTGAAGGTCCCTTAAGACCCCTTCCTTATATTTCACAGAGTTGTCCTCTTGAGCTTTGTGTTCGGTTGTCTCATTTACTGGGTCAAATAACACGTTATGCCTTTTGCTGCTGCTTCTTGCAGAGCTGCGGCAGCTTGGAGAGATGCAGTGGCAAGCGATCCTGGCGCATAGCTTAACTAATCTTCATAGCTGTAACTTGTGTTTGATCAGAAACCACTGAGACAGTAAAAAAAGAATGCCTTTGGTGTTTTTTGTTTGGGTTTTTTGTTGGGGTTTTTTTTGGTGGATTTTATTGTGGTTTGTAGTACAAGTGGTACTTGAGTTCTTGGAGTAAATACTCTTAGCGATGGCGCACGCTTGTATTTTATGGTGAGTCGTTCAGTAGCAGTAAGTACAGGATTGCCACCATTCTTTTGTTGACTTGCTGGCTCAAATAATCTATGCCCTAATGATGGGAAGTTTACGAAGCTTAAACTGTGAGTACTGGAAGCGGGAGGAATTCGCCTTCTCTGGCCTCAACCGCCAAGGTGGACGTCTCGACCCTGCAAATGAACGCAGCTAACGACCACCCTATGCGGGGAGAGAGGCCTTCTCACAGCAGGTAGACGCTGCCGGGAAAAGGCTGTAATTATAATTTGTTAATCACACTATCGTAATATCCTTGGGGTGCATGAGCAGCCTCTGCTCTGGCTTTAAACCTGGCTCTGTCAGGACAGGTAACCCTGGCCTACTCATGTGCCCCTCCATTACCCCAAGCTCCTCAGCTGTCCACGACCCCCCTACCCCAATTACCGGGCTCCTGTCCCCCACCACCTGGCTTTGTCCCCCAGCCCTGTCACCCTCATCACACCTGGGGGGTCCCCCCTGGGCCTCTTACTCGTTGCCTGGCGGCACTGCCGTGCGCTGCGACCTAGGCGGCCATGTTAAGACCGTCCTGGGGGCCTGCAGCCTGCTGAGGGGAGGCAGTAGGGCACTGGCCTCCCCTCACAGACCCTCCCCAGGCCCGGGGGAGCGCGCAGGCGCGGCGAGGGGGGCAGGCACTGCAGTACCGCTGTGCCTGCCCGCTTCCCCGGGCCCAGGCATCCATTGTGGTCTGCCTGGAAGAAGCTGCCATATCTCCTCGAGGAAAGCTGTCAGCCTGTGTTTCATGACGCTCCTCATGAAAATTGCAAAAAAAAAAAAAGCTATAGCAACCCCCCCAAAACAGACCTTTTCTTGCTATTTTAAGTGAGTTAGATTGGCACAAGGCATGATGTGATGGAGAGGCACGAGACGTGGCTGGGTGCAGGGGATGGGAGAAGGGATAAGACCCCTTTTACAGAGCGGTAGGCTGCTAGCTTGGTGCTGACGCCCATAAAATGGAAGCCTGAGCTGAGTGAATTGCTTTAAGCATGTCTGGAAGTAGTTTTCTTGGAGCAATGGTACTTATGAGTGGGTTTTGGTCGTGCTGGCTCTTTTCCCCTGTCCCCCCAAATTGGAAATGAGCCTTAGAAATATAAAGATTTTAGTATCCTGTTGTTTTTCTTTTTAAAATTTTCATTTTTCTTGCTTGAACAGGTTGGGGGTTTTTTTCATGTGTTGTATTCAAATATTTAATTTGTTCTGAAATTGCCAGGTGGTATTAGTGTTAAGCAGTTGATGACGAGAATATCTATGAAAAAGTCTCAGCTAAGCAGACTTTGACGGCAACAACATTGTGGTTCCCCATCACTGTCAAGAGTGACCAGCAGCACCTTCATCATGTTAGTTTTGATTATGAGCTTCAAAGCAGCAAAGTTCAGTTATTGCATTCATTAAGAGTGGGGTTTTTCCCCCCATCCTTTTCCACATTCCTTTTGACCCTCTTTTCTGTAGCCACTCGTATGAGAAATAGCCTAAAAACATTCCAGACATCAGGTATCATCTTCTACCATGTTTTTTTCTGCTGCAAGAATGGGGTTCTCCATTGTTAAGACAAACTCTGTCTCCTTGGCTTTGGAGGCTAGCTGCTGTGGCAAAGGCAGGCAGGCTTTTGTTTGTTTGTTTTCAGCCTTGAATTGACTTTTCTGTCCATTTTAGTAGGCCACAGACTAATGTACATCTCACTGTGATACAGTAACATGAAAAAATTGGCTACAGGCCTTAACTGTGTGTTCTTGTCTCGTTTTAGGTGAATTTTCTCTCTGCTTAGCTGACACCCACCTATGTACTTACTAAGCATCCTTTCACCACGGACAATTATTTTCTTTCCTGTCTTGTTAAGAGGATTAAGACCTACATAGTAACAAACATCTGCATCTTAAAATAGTAACTAACTGTATAGATTGGTGGGTCCATAGGCACACAGGTTGTGTGGGAGGGTATACAATATTTATTTGCATTTTTTTACTTTTATTTTAATATTTAAGGAAGATGTTCATCATATTTCACTTGCTGTTCTGTGTAACAAACTCAGTACACATGTAGAACAGGTTGTTCCAAGGTTTAACTGTAAGTATTACATTATGTAAAACCTTGCAATTTGCTGACTTGTCATCACCCATGACCATAAACATACATTAACCACGGAATGTGCATGTGCAAGTGAATGGGAAGGTAATACTCTAGGTCATGTGCCCCATGCTTTATTTTTTGTCAAGCTACCATGGAATGGAAAATAAAATGCAAAGCCCAATGGAGTTTTAAAATAAAACATCACATTGTTTCAGAGTTTACAGGTTCATTCTTGCCTCTTGATATGTTTTCCTCTTCTGTTTGAAGGAACCAGAGAGCATTATGGAGTCTGCAGAAGAAGAGTTAATTAATTTTAATGTCGGTGGCTGGTATTTCTCTATTCCCAAAAGTAAAGTCGCTCAGTTTCCTGAATCTCTGTTATGGAAAGAAGCTCCTGTACAAGATCAGTCTGAAAATCTAAGATTATTTATTGACCAAGATGGTTTTATATTTAGGCACCTTCATTATTACATGCAGACTTCAAAATTATCTTTTTTCAGCTGTGCTGAATTGAACTTACTGTATGAGCAAGCATTAATTTTGCAGCTGACACCTTTATTACAGGTAAAGTGGGATATTCTACATGGCTTTTCTATAATTTTTTCATTCTTAGATAATATTGTCTGTAGAAGGATGTCAAGGAGTTTGCATACATCACTTTATCAATGCTTGCAATAGGTATACAAACAAATAATTGCCACATTCAACGTGTCTCGGTGAGTAAAGAAAATGTTACAAATTTGATGCTTGACCTTTCCGTAAGAGTTCATTCAAGTCATTACTTGCTTTTTTCACTACATTTAAAGCAAGCAGAGACTTTTATCTGCCAAGTGTTGTGCTTTATGTCAATTATACTGATTGATCTTGCTGAATATGAACCTCTGAATGTGAAGAAGGTGAGTCTGCCCAAAACCAGATTCTTCCCAGTAGGACACCACTGAATTCACTATCCTGTCAAATGGGGAAATGACGATTCTTCCTCTCCTCCTATTTTGTAGCTGCATAAACAGAAATGTTAAATGGATGTCTGTAAAGAATATTTAATTTACTATTTAGCTACAAGTATTTTTTATTGTAATTGCAGTGTAGTTTTGCATTGTGCCAGTGAAGGTTGAGTCCATACTTCCTGGCTGGATGAAATGTGTATTTTTGTACATTTGCATTTCCTCTAAGTTTAGTCTAAACTCTGCATTTCTTTTAGTTTCTAATACTTTTTTTGTGGATTTGTTTCATAGATGCTATTATGCTTGATAATTTTAGCCCAAAATATTAACATTTTGGGTTTAATGTGAACACTTTTGGATTTTCTTTTAGGACTGTGTTTAAAGATGTAACATCTTCAAATAGGTTGGGAGAGGAAGACCACCAAACCTCAGTAGTCTATTGTATTAACAAACCGTACATGATCACATGTTTAACATGGACCTGTTGTGGTATGGCCAGGAACACATTTCACCAAACTAGAATTCTTGCATTTTCTGGCTTTTATGTGCTTGTCAGTGTAACTTTATTGATTCCTTAAGGTATTTTACGCATGTGCTTTAGAAGTCATAACAGTGGCTTTAAAGTTACTTTATACTTGATATCCTACAACAGTACGTAACCATTTGTTCCAAGTTTAAAATAATTTGTTTATTATTCAAGAAAAGACTGGGAAATGTAGACTGTTAAACATTCCTATCACTGAGCCAAACATAGATTTCCATTTCTAATCATTGAATTCCTACAGCTTATCGTAAAGATGTTATTAAAAAGACCCCAAAAGGTCTTTCAGGCTTTGTGTTGGGTTCTTGGCTATTTCTATTGTTGTATACTTTTATACATGTCAGTGTGCTGTCTTGAATTCCAGAGCTAGAATACAAGGAAGTGCCATTAAAACTCAAATGTTGAAAAATATTTGGCTTTTTTTGAATATATGAATGGCTCTAATTATATTACAAGTCTTATAAATGTTCTCTACAAGTTCATTCCATTTACATTTAGGTACCTAAAACTTAGGAATGTATTTGTTCTCATCTGTATATGATATTCCATGGCATATTTTAGTAGATGTGAAGTACAGCATGGCATGCATTAGAATCTTTCCCATGGCTGGTTTTGATTTTTGTATTAATTATTTGAATTGAAGTAGTAAATAGAAAAACTTTACGTATCTTGACAGATTTTAGATAATTTGAAGGAGGAGAAATATAATTTACATGTCCAGCCTGCAGATACACCAATAGCTAAAAGAACACCTCTGAATTACTGGAGAACACGAAAATGTACCAGCAAGCCACCAGAGATTCCTCCTAACAGTCCAGCATTCACAGGTAAGTGTCCCAAATTCACAAATACTTTTACATCCTTAGGAATGCCCATAAACCGTTGTCAGTTGTTGCAAGCAAGGAACATTTTAGAGTCTTGCAAAGTTTATTTTTTGTGATTTTTTTGATTAGTCATCTTTATTTAAAAAATAGGAAAATTCATGCAAATGTTTATCCATTTGTGCTGGACTGTAAGACTTCATCCTCTGGTGAACATTAAATGTTGCACAAGATTAATGCACTTTGATTGGCTTTGCTGTACTAGTCAGATCTCCAAAGTGTGTATCTGAGTTTCATTTTTCTTTACTTAGGTCTTGATTTTTCTCTGATTTTCTTTGCCTAGGGTTACATGAAAGAGCACCCCTAGGGCTAGTGGATACACCTTTACTAGATACGGAAGACGAAGTGAATTACTGTTTTTTGCCACTAGATTTGGTGGCAAAATATCCTGTACTAGTTAAGGACGACAATTTGCTGTGGCTGCTTGAGAATGCAGCCCTGATTGAGTGCGAGTGCAGTGAGTTCCGCTTCATAGGTAACTGTTCTTCTTTATTATTATTCTGACATATCTAAATAATTTTTTTATATTAAACTGTTTCTGTCTATCTTCAATAATACTTCTTCAGAGATCAGAATCTTGTAATCTTTTGGTTTTGGTTTGGTTTTGCTGTCTGCCAGTTTTACTGCCCTGTTTATCAATCAAGAAACAAAGCCTTTACAGGGTGCCTTTCAGAGTACATGTACCTAAATTTACCCACTTATGGCTCTACTTGCATCAGGTACCAGAACTGCTGTTAATAATCACTAATTAAGGTAGAAAAAACTTACATGGTAACTCTAAATCTCTACTTGACCCTGTATCTTTTCACTAGTAAAAAAATCACGTTTCATTCATTAAATAATCTTCCAGCTTCAAAAAAGACAAGTACTTCTCAAAAGTATGTCAGGATCACATTCCTCCTCCCTCAACATAGTATTTCATCCTCTGTGAACTCAGTTAAGGTGAGATAGATAAGAAATTGCCGCAGTTTTGCTCTGCCTGTCCTCTGATGTTAACATAGGGGAAAACACATGTTTAAATGCACAGCGGGGGAAAAAGCAGCCAAACAAACGGGAAACCTCTTAGATGAATCTCTCAGCCTGTTGTGATAAACAAAACTAACCTAATTGTGTGCTTCTCCTACCGTTTATACTGTGTGGTCTCCTCTACCATAAACCTCGTTTTTAGGATTGTGTTTTCAAAGACAGTGTTCCCTGCTGTCCATTTATCTGCTCTCTGTGTGTGCATATGTCAATCGTAATACTGAATGAAATGACAAGAACCTATTTTTGCCGGATCTGAGCAGTGGACAGAAGACATCAACACACACTTCCTCTGCTTTATTTTTATTTTCAAGTTAATTTTCTTCGCTCAGAGAAGATGTTGTTGCCTGATGACTTCTCCAACATAGATGCCTTGGAGGAAGAAGTTTTAATTCTGGGAATTCCTGAGCTTATAGATGCTGTTAAGATCTACAGAGGTAATATAATGTACATAGCTATATATTTTCTTCCTTACATGCATTTGCTTTAATGTTATGTTGTGAAATTGGGTGTTTGAAATGGAAATTATATTAATATGATCAACACTGAGGTGAATTAGCAACTCATTTCCAGAAAATGTTGAAAACAGTGGAAAATATGGCAGTCATTATTAGCCGCTGACCTTCTGGGGCACAGTCTCAACCTCCTTTCCTTGCAGGCAGCTGCTCCATGGTGTCCCCCACCACAGTGGGGGCCGGAGGGCAGCGGGGGGTGGCAGCAGGGGAGGCCCTGCCACGGTTGCCACTCTATGCCATGGCTCTGGGGCTGCTGGCCAACTACCCGGATTCGGCTCTGGGACAGCTCCACGTGGACAGCGACCTGGGCAGGAGCCACCTGTACCTCTCCGGTGACGGCGTCCTCTTCCAGCACGCCAGGTACCACCCTGCCTTCATATAGGCAATATCAACATAACATAAGGTTCTTTCAAAAGGCTATCTAACGGGTTTTGTGGTTGAAAAGGGGTCCTGTTCTCACCAACCTGTCCTTTAGTATTTGTAGTACACATTTTCAGCTAAACTTGCAGATAACTATAATTACAGGAGTTTGCATTCTTCTATTATATTGTAGGCTGGTAAGCCAAAAATTCCAAAGTAGTGTATGTAAACTTTTTAATGATCACAGGTTCTTACAACTTAAGATTTACCATTCATTTGGAAAACTTTGTATGAGGTTTTCAAAAGCATCTAAATGCCTATGTGTTCAGGCTTTTCTGAAGCCACAGAAAAGTCATACTGCTATGTCTAGTCCAACAAAGACAGTAGACTTCTGAATACTGTGTTTGAACTTGGTCCTTTGAGACATACTTCTCCATATTGTTCACATTATTGCTTAGACCATACCAGTGTACTGGTTTAATAAAACCCCTATTGTATAGGAAAATGGCTCCTTAGTGAATCATTAGCACCTCTTTCCTGAAATCGGTGAAAATGTAAATGTAGAGGTCAGACATCTTTGCTGTGACAGAGGGATTATTTTTTTAAATGCAGACCCTCACTAGGTGAGTCTTAAAGCTAGCCATTAAAACACACGTTTTAATACTCTATTAAAAACCATCTACTATTTTCTTTCACCTGCTTGTTGTGATTTGAATTAAGAAAACCAGAAGAAATCACAATGAATCAGTTGGTTATGATTCAAGCCTGCCACACAATTAAATGCTCAGCCATGCATATTTCCATCTACCACAGATTGAAAAACTTCCTGCACCTTTAACCAACTTTAAATTTAGCACAAACAGATAATACCCAGTCTGTAAAGGGTAATAGAAAGACAACAGGAAGGTCAAACATACAGTCACCTCATCTCTGCCCCTGGCATCTTGTCTGGACTTGCTGTTGGCACTAGTGAATGATGCAGTGTAGGAGTAATACCATGTTAAAAGTTTATTCAAAACTATTGCAGATCATTATTTGATGGGTCCATTGCAATAGCTTTATTTGTCGATGTTGGATTGTTCTCAATACAAAAATGATGCGGAAAGTTATGAGTAAAGCTCAGTAAGTGCAAAACAAATTTTTAGGGGAGTTCATATTTCCTGACTTGTACTCATTAAAAATAAACAGTAAAAATATGAAGCAAGAATAAAAAGTTTAGTGATTTTTCTCTCTTTTGGATAGGAATTGGCTGGGAACTTGCCGACTTCCTCTCACTCAAAATATTTCTGAAATCCAAGAGCTCTGTGCTTATTTGGACAAAAGGGACACCACATATGAGCCAATGAAAGATGCTTTGAAATGCTATCTGAAACAACAGATGCCAGCAGAGAGCAGAGATTATAGTAAGTCAAGATTTCTCAAGAACTCTTTCATTTTAAAGTAGAATGAGCAGTGTTGCCTGAATACAATTAATCAGTCAATGATTTACATCTACTTTTGAGGGACTGTTACAGTACAAAAATAACCTGAAGGTCTCACTGACTAACAGTGTTTGTTTTCCAAAGATCTATGGCTACCCCGTTGCTTTATTAACTGGCTGTTGCCTGTCAGTGAACACTAGAGTAGTAACACTAGGTTCTAGGTGAAATATAGAGCAAGTCTACACTGGATTTAGGTAGTACTATTCATGGTTTTGGGTAATTTTACTTGTTAAACTTACCAGTTTTATCGATGACTGAACTAATTTGCTGAACCCAGTTCCTTCAAGCTTAGACAGTCCAAGTTACTTTCATCTGAACATGTTCTACCTTAAAGATAGTGAGGTTTCTTTTGCTCCCACTTTTCTGATGTGGGAATGTTCTTACAACTCCTTAAACCAAGGAATCTATTTCTAACTTCCAGCCTAAGTGCATTCATAGCCACATTTTGCTCTTGCTGAAGCTGACCTTTAACTTAAATGTTGTTTCCACTTCGGTTTATCCCCTCTTCTCCTCTAATGCATTTATAGAAAAATCATGACATTTTCTATCAGCCCTTATTGTGGCTTTTTAACAAGAGTTAATATGATTCCCTGATTAACCTAAGGATTCTTCTTTTCACCTATTCTAGTTCCCGCATATTCATAGAATTTATGTCAGAAGAGATGTCTGGAGGTAATTTAGTCCAACTCTCTGCTCAGAGCAGAGTCAAGTAGGTTTGGGCTGCTCAGGACCTTGCCAGGAAAAGCTTTGAGTATTTCCAAGGATGGAGATCCTGCAGCCTTTCTGGACTCCTGTTCCAATAGTTGAATACCCTTGTGCTAAATAAAGTCATACATGTAATTTCCTATGTTCCACTTTTTTTCCATTGCCTCTTGGCCTAGCACTTTGTACCTCCAAGAAAAATCTGGCTCTGTCTTCTCTACACCTTCCCATTAGATGTAGACAGTGATAAGATCCTCCTCTAACCTGTCCTTCCTAAGGCTGAACACAGCCAGTTCTTTCCACCTTTTCTGTTATGCCATGTGCTCCAGGAAAGATAAATTTAATCACACTCTGTACAAGGTAATCCAGTTGAAACCTCCCCAATATTTTAGACTATGCTACTACTAATTCTGCTGGAGTTAGCTTCCTCAGTACATCCTACAGTCTCATTTGCAGTTCCCTGTTCCACTGGTGGCAAACAATCTCTTTGTGATCAATGAATGCAGACATCCCTTTGCCCCATCTGAGCGCAAGCTTCCTGGTTCAAACTTCAGCTTGTAGGATCCTAATTGTATTTCCTATTGCTTATTTGCAAGTCTGACTTCTTATTTTGTATTTGTGACCTTACTTCCAGTTTACTCCACCCTCAGGGTCCTCTGAGTCATTCTGTAGGGGATGCTTATCCTTCCAGTTTTGAGCCATCAGCAGCTTTCACCAGAATAAGGTGAAGTGGCTTATTTTGAAGTGTTCTTCCCTGCCCCACCATGCAATAGGTGTGTATGTAGAAAGGAGTGAATCTTATCAGTTCTCAGATGGAATTATAATCCTTGAGAAAGAGGGTTTGATTTTAAATTGAAACAGCAGTTATGGAATTCTGTGTCATTATTGTGTAGCCTGTTGGATAACACAAGCTAGAAAAAATAACTCTGTGACACAAAGGTCTTAGCAGTAAATGATGCTTCAGTTGTACATATGTTATGGAAGATGGCTAGTCCCATTATAGTAGCTATATCAGACAAGCATATGCTAATTTGTTCATTGCTTAGAGAGAGTAGAATCTCTTTATATAATTATCCATAGCCCTATAAATAATTTATTTAAGAGCATGACTTGCCTCTATCTTCTGTAGAGGCCTGGGCTATTGTAAGAAAAAAAATTCTTCATGTTGGAGCCCTTTTCAAAGTTAGGTTGGTTTTTTGGGTTTGTTTTGTTTTGTTTTGTTTCATTTTTTTACAATTTCTTTTGAATGCAAATGTATTCTGATTTTCCTAAAACAGTGTCCCAGGACTGACTTTCTATAAATAGGAATGTGAACTATATTGTTAATTATTCCAACAGAAACTGTCCCAGGTTTTTGTTGCCACACTAAGGTAAGATGTGGGCTGAACCCAGATGAAAATATATCCAAAGCTGTTACATTATATCTGCTCTCTGTGAATAATTGCTCTTTGAGGCTTGTACTAACCTGATACTGTCATCTTCAAAGGAAATAACAAAGTGGGGCTCCTTGTGAGGATGGAAAAAGATTGCCCTGGAATTCCACTAGCTTTACACTTCCTGACAAGCTGAGTCTTCACTTTCAAAGACCTTTCAGATTACCGCCTTATTTCCAATACTTTGGAAGTAAATTATTTCTTTCTGTGGCAATGTAACAGCGTACTTAGATTCACCTACCTTAGGTGACATAAATGTGCCTGGCTCAGTAGAGTGAACATCACTATGCTAATGTGTATAGCCTTCTTGCTATTCTTATTTTTTAACCTATTGAAGGGAGGTGGTTTGGCTGCAGCACAGATGGACCAAGTTGCCTGCTATTGTAACATTACATCCTGATTTGCCTTTTGCTTGCAGTTGCATATGACTCCTAAACAAAACATGAGAGTTCCAGCTCTCTGTGCATAGACTACACTCTCTTACCTCACTATTTCAAAGAATTATTATTTGTAATATGTTGATGTAAAATCCTGTATCATATTAACTTGGTATCTATAACAAAATAATTACTACTTGCAGTTGTTTTATTTGTCATCTTTCCATTTGTTACTCCATCTCTAGACACAGACTGGACAGCAGAAGTATCTGTATGCTCACTCCATCAGATTGTGAAAGTTTATGTAGGAAGTAATTGGTATGAAACTTACTTACAGACTTTATTGAAGGTATGGGTAATTAATTGCCTTTGCATTGCCTTCACATGAACCTTCCTAGACAGAATTTATAATTCTAAGACTAGAATCTATATTTCTACTAATAAGAATTATTAGAATAGTTTTGACCTGAAAACTTGGAATTATCAGAGCTTCACATGTAATCTGGGCGTTTTATACTAAGGGAAGTATATTCAAGTACCTGCGGGAAATAAATCTTGGACTTCCCAAGGAAGTATTTTCTGGGCTAATTATATAATTATTTTTACTAATAATATAAATAGACTTGATGGAACTGATTTAATTTTTTTACTGAGAAAGGAAAAATCCTGTTTGGATTTCTTTCCCTCTCTAACTAACACCGGAAATATGGTCTTAATGTGTTTTTATTTCTGTAGTACCCAGAGCTGCTGTCAAATAACAAGAAAGTCTGTTGGATCACATACGGTCAAAGTCTTCTAATCCATGGAGATGGGCAAATGTTTCGGCACATTCTCAACTTTCTAAGACTTGGGAAATTGTTTTTGCCGGCTGAATTTAAGTAAGCAGAGTGAATTCATGGTCTGTTTTTATATTATTAGGTGGCTGTAGGGGAAGCAAGCATGGGGATTTTGTCTTCTGATTTTCGTAGAAATATTATCCAAAAGAATTAAGACTTTTTAGTCCTGAAGTAAACTATTCTATCTAAACATAAATTATTGCAATTTAGAGATTGAGAGATATGTTTTTGGTTCAGCATGTATGCCTTTATTTTAATGACTAATATGCCAGACACTTGTACTGCAGGGTATATCACAGATCAGTGCATTGTGCGCATACCTTTAGCAAAAAGGAAAATGTTTTTATTTATGAGATCATTGCATCCCTCTTTAGATTTTTGTCTTTTTATATGTCAGGGACAGCAAAGTCTGGCTAGTCCAGCTGAAAAATACTCCATCTGCCCCCTCTACTGGTATCTCTGTTCTAATGCAGGAAAAATCTATCTTCCAAAACTGCAGTGGTACAGGAATGGAGGAAGACAGGGTGGCTATAGAGGAGACGGCACTCTCCCTCCATATGCATATCAATCTATTAGGTCTCTAAATTTTATCAATCATCAGAAATTGAGATGGCTTAAAACACCAGTCTCCTAAGCATATTCCTTCAACATGTTTCACTTGCCCTTGAGATTGCTCAGAACTGACCCTTCAGTGCTATGGCTTCTTGTAGCAGTTTCCCTGCTTCTGCCACCACTACATGTTACAATTTTTTGCATTCAGCAGTGAAGGTCTGCCTGGCATCAGAGATCTCTTGGTCTTTTCAGTTCTCGGAGCCCTTGTTTGATGGATCATTTCTAGTAGGCAGAATATTCACTACATATCACCAGCTGATGTGGTCATTTTTAGCACATTTAGCTGTTTCCAAGAGGAGTATGTACTTTCATTCTTTTCCCCAAAGTCAATAGAAATGTTACACCAGTGGCTTCTTTGATATAATAACCACTGGTTGCTTTCACGTCTGACATGAAGGGCATAGGCAGCCAGATGTCAGACACTACAGTTACATCTATACAAGCAAACTGAGGATGTCTGGGAATCTTTCTGGTCACTGAGGCCAGCTGCCTTTCTGCAAGTGATCTGCTTTGACCTCCTGGAGAAGGTGGCTTCACTCCTCCTGTCCACTGCAAACAGTTCCAGGAACATCTGAATGGCCAAACCATGCCCAGGAATTGTTGGAGAGAGCATAACTTGGGTAGGACAAAGCACAATGCTAATAGCTTACTGGCAGAGATAATCATATTCTAGGACTAAGAGTATTTTTGGGAATGGTGGAGTTCCTAGTAGCTCATGGAACCCATGAACCCTCTTTATGGGATTCCCTATGGAAAATGCCATGGTGAATTTTCCACATGAGAAAAGTGTCATGAGTGTCACAGAGCAGAGCAGGATTCCTGCTTCTCAGAATCAGGTTTTATAATCAATACCCATGGTTAATTAAAGAAAAAAAGAAAAAAGAAAAAAAAAGAGGGGACAGAAGCTTTCACTTAACTAGTAGAAGAGCAATAGCTGGAAAAAATTATTGAAAATAGCAAGTTTTACAAAGATTCAGAAGGGTGCTGCTGAACACCTCTGGTTTAGGAGCTCATTTATTTTGGTTGCACCTTTTCAAAAGTGCACCATCTATTCTGGGATTCCTGACATAAAATTCAGACTCCATGGAATTCAGTAGTAGTCAATGGAAAGATTTCTATCAATTTCAATAAAAACAGATTTTTTTTTTTCCCCCTCATTGTTTGGATGACAGAAGTGAAACAGAAAAAAAAAATTGGTTTGGGTACTTTTCAGTATTTAAAATGATAGGCTATTTGACCATCTGTTAAAAGAAAAAAAATCACTTGTGTGAATGCATCTTTCATTTTGTGTAGTGACTGCCTGAGCTTCCAAAATTAATATATATTTGGAAAAGATAATGTGTTAAGATTTTCATAGTGATTTTACAGTTCAGTTTATTTACAATTTACAGAGAATGGCCTCTCTTTTGTCAAGAAGCAGAGGAGTACCAGATCCCTTCTCTTTTGGAGGCACTTTATCACTCTGATGCATACAGGTAGATAAAAATTCTCTTCTTTCTTTTTCTGTTCTGCCATATAATGTCCTTTCATCTGACCTAGCAGTGTTGGTCCTTTGAAAGGAGCACAATTTTCTCATTTCCTTCTGAAACACAGCCACTGGAGGATGAGCAATTCCACTATCTTTTGGGCCACATTTTTTCCCATCAGTTATTTAGGTACTGGAAGAGTAACAGAATAGTCCTCAGTCAGCTCTCCAGTTATGATGGAAAAAGGCAACTGAGAGAGACACCTCCCTAAGTCCAGATATTGAGAATACTGCAGTGCACACTGGAAACCATTGTACAGAGACACCAGGCTGAGCAGAGATTCTGATTTACTAGCTTTGGCTCAGCCCTGGCTTTGCCAACCCCCAGCTGGTTTCTGCAGACCCACTGGAGGATTTGCCAGCACTCCAGAGTGTAGAATGGCATATCTCTGATGCAGCATCACAGAAAAGGATTGAGACCAGCTGGAATTTAAATCTAGACAAATGAATGTTGAAAATAAGCCATAACTTTTTGTATATTAATTCATCATTGAACATTTTCTCAGAGACTTATTTCTCCGTTGCTGGCAACTTTAAAAATAAGATTGGATGTTTTTTCTAAAAGATTATGCTATTAAAACAGGAATTAGCATTCAGTGTTACTGGAAGCCAGGCTGCATAATCACAGTGGTCTTCTCCAGCCTTACAAAATCTGTGAATCTGCAAACACTAGTGTTTTCTTCTCTACTGTGCTCATTAAAGGGATGGACAAAATGTTAAAACACAGGCCTTTTGGCAAGTCCACAGAACTGATATGTTTCAACTCCTGAAAGCACAGTACTTTAGAAGATGACCTAGCATGGCCCTTCTCCTCAGTATTTTCCTAAGAGAGCTCTAGAAGTTAGTGGACTCTTACTAAGGGGCTCAAAAGCCATTTGGGCATTTTAAAGTCAAAAGATATCTATTAAAATCTTCCCAGAAGATCATGAATCACTGCAGCAGGTTCTGAAATACCAATGCTATGGGCTGTTTGCATCAGGATTTCCAACCTCATTTTGCTGCCATGAGCAGTAGTAGGACACACTAGTGGTAGCTACCAGTATCCCACCAGTGGTGACAGCAGTTCCTGGATTTTACTGTAGATCTCTATTAAGAAGAAATCCTAAATGTCCTTCCCCCACTTCCCTATCTGTCCTGGTTTTGGCTGGGATAGAGTTAATTTTCTTCCTAGTAGCAGGCATAGTGTTGTGTTTTGGATTTAGTATAAGAGTTTTGATAACACACTGATGTTTTAGTTGTTGCTAAGTACTGCTTATGCTAGTCAAGGACTTTTCAGCTTCCCATCCCAGTGCAAGAGCCTAAACTCATGTTCCTATACCTACAGAGCAAGAGGAGGATGTCAGAGGAAATCTGAAGCACTCTACAAGTGACTGACAAAACTTTACATTCCCTAGGAAGTTTTAGCTAAGGACTAGTACTATAACATAGAGTCTTCCACTGCTCTTTGGTGCTTTCCTATCACAGAAGGTGTCAGCACCTCTATCACATACACCAAAGGCCTCTAACAAAGTAAAACAACTGGGGATTTGAGTTCTTTTCTAGATCTTCAGTCAGCTCCATAGGCAATCTTATCAAATCTCTGTCTATCGGAGACAGGAGCAGCAGCTACTCTGTGCTTCCAGAGTCGTTTCACCTTTTCACATACTGCTGTGCAGCTCAGGCAGCCACTGTCAGGAGCTGAGCTTCTTAAGCAGACTCAGAATTCAATTTTGAAACTATGAATGTAGATGGTTGACCTGAATCTGACTAGCTTGCTCCCCAAAGTGTCTAGAACCTCTTAACAAAAAAAGAGAAAAAAACTCCAAATCATCAGATGTCAGGTAGACATGGTTTACATAAATCCATTGGTCAAGGTTTTGTGGATGCTGGAAGAGAGACAAGAAATCATTTTTGTCTCCTTTGTATCTGCAGCATCACATTTCAGATGTTCTCATTACAGGTGAGTGATGAAAACTCCTGGTCCTTTGCTACCCCTGTATTGTGTACTAGTGATAATTGTGAACCCCTTCCATGCCCTAGTAGTTTAAAAGTAACTCATAATAATGAAGAATGTGATATACACAGATCCAACAGTGGCTGGAAGTCCTGGCAGCTCCTCTTACAGGTTGACTGGGTGTCACCCCTGGAAAAATTTCTGTAATAATTGTAAATATTCATTTTCTAGATTATGGATCCAGAACAATGAATTGTGCAATGAAGTTTATTTTCCATGTAGAAGATCAAGTATTGTGCCTTGGAATAAGCAGCTTGAGTTCAGCAAGGACCTAAAAGAAGTAAGGAGTGTCCCACGTGCTGGGCTTTTATTTCTGTTTTTATCCAGTGACTGTATGCTGCAAAGTCATACAGGTCAAGGTCAAGATCCTCTGGTCTGTGTTAGCTTGGTCTGAACCCCACAAGCCTACACTCTTTTAGATTCTCCTTTTGGTCTTGTGATTCGCATTCCTAGTTACTTAGAGTCCCTGTCCCCAAGGGTGGGAATTGTTTTCATTCAGATTTCAGTGTGACTTGGAAACTGGGGCACTTTGCTGGGTCACAGGAGATACGGGTTGTGACCCCTCTGGGCAAGGAGGACTTAGAAGCCAGATCTCCTGGTTCCTAGGTGGTAAGGATGGGAGCAGCAAGCTTAAGCAGTGCAGAGGCAAGACAGTGTCCTGCAGAAACTTTATGGTCTTTGAAGTCAGTGGAAGGGGGAAAAGGACTTTCGGCTCAAGTCTTTGAATACTTCTAGTCCTTGGTTGGACACCAGCAGCTGAAAGTTGCCTTCAGTCTACTAGAGAAAGGTGAAATGCAGGTGCTGCCTCTGTAGCATTTACATGATGGTATCAAACTGCTCCACCCTATAGCTTAACACTGGTGTTAATGTGGTAGAGTGGTTGCACAGCTTTACTTTGCCTTAACTTGCCAAATGACCTTTCTTGTGCAGAATGTGCTGCTGTCAGTTCAGATAATCAAAATTACCTTAGTTGTAGCGGTAGCAGAGATGTTGAGGTGCTGCTTGTGTGTCTTGGCCACTCCAGCGTCTATTGTCACATTCAGCAAAATTCAGTGGTAGGAACTGAGGTGATTCAGGACAGCATAACATCAGTGCTGAGTTATCAGGGCAGGGTTTGGAGAGCCTTAAGGCACTTCCCCCAAGAAGTGAGAATGCATTTTCCAGGATTAAGAACTCAATCCTTAAATGCTTGTATTATAATGAGTAAAATACATCAGTTATTAGGAAAGGCAAAGCTTACACTTCATTCCATATCAATTAGAAATAACAACATTTCATTGTATTTTTAGGTGTACTCATGTACAGCTGTGGATTCCAGTAAATGCTGTATTAATACATGGAGTAATATAAAAGATCTGAAGGGAAAGCAAGATACCACTAGGGAGAAGACAAATTATTCCAGAATGATTTCACAGGTGAGAGGGACAAAGCGGAGGAATGCATTTGGAGGATATGATATGACCTTGGACAGCCTGGTAAACTCCAGCTATTACAAACATTTGGTAAGCCCTCCAAGGAAGAGAGGCATGAGAAGCAGTTTAACAAAGAAAGTAGAAAGTAAAGACTCTGCAAGTCACATTCAGAAATTAATTTCCCTGGTAAAGGAATGGGACGCAGTGAGCTCCAAGAGGTGTGATTTTCAGCACGTGAGAACATCTGACGGTTGTATCACAGAGAGTGTGTCTCAGTGCAATACTCCTGAAAAGGACAGGGGTGTCAAAGCTCCTATTGCTTCATCTCCCAGGGAAAAAAGCTTTACTATTCAAGGAAACAATCACATTACCCAATACGAAGTCGAGACTGAAGGAAAGGAGCCAGAGCAATACGTGTTCACACAGAGTTTGCCAGTTACTCCAAGTGCTGGAACGTATCAATTCAGCACCATAAAAATTACTCCCGCAGTAGGAAACGATGCAGAGAATATAAACAAGGAGCAACCAGAAGGTAAATGACTGCTTTGTGATTGTTGTTTTAAAAAATTATGAGAGTAATTAACTAAATGACTTGCATAAATAAGATACTTTGATGATGCTGATGAATTTCAGAGACAGTCTCAACCTTTTTCTTGTTCTGCTTGCAGAAAGTTTTCCTAGTGAAGGAAGAGACAAGACCTTGCAAATGAAACTCATCCATCTAAAAGACAGTGAGTTGATTGCCAGCTGCTAAGCAAGGATTTTACTGCTTGTCTATGCAGAATTTAATACTAAAAGTGTGTTTGCCAGAAAGGTGGAGCTGCGTTTAGATTCACTGGCATTAGTGAATTGTTCTTTCACTGTCTCCTTGTTCCTCTGCCTTTAAAGTTGTGCAAGGAACAGTGAAGCTGGTTTGATGTGCTTAAGTTATCCAGTTAGTTACAGAAATCTGTAATTTAGCATAAAGACTGAAAGATTTTTATGCTAAACCCAGAAGTTTCCACAGGCATGTATAGGAGTTAAAAAGATTTTCCTGATTAGCCAAGATATTAAATGCAAACTCAAGAAACCTCAGTAGAAAGTCTCAGTCCAAGACTAGTTCTGACATCCTGAGAAGGATGTGATTTACCCTGTACCACTTCCACCATGGGTAACACAACAGGTTTTCACAGATTTGTTGGCAAAGCAAAATGTATTAATAATGATTGTGGATGTTTTTGTTACTATAGCAGTGGAAGCCAGATTATTATTTTCATAGAACACCCCTCACACACACAGTCATATCCCATGAGAGAATCTCAGTCTGAATTATGCTTGGGTTCCGTTAAGCAGTACGTAATGGTTACTCTGTCTGAATCTTCCATGTGAAAAGGGAAGTAGAGAAGACCTATAATGTTATAGCTAAGGTTTCAAATTATTTGGTGTAAAGGTTGTCATTTACTGTCTGGTGATGTATCACCTTACCTGGCAAGACATCACGACAGAATAAAGACAGAACAAGGCATAACTTTAAAGAGAAGATGACAATATTGTGGTCATACTTACAAATGTGTTTACCCCATTACTACTGATCCAGGCTTTGCTGAAAAACTCAACCTGTATTCATTCACAGAAACAAGGGACAGCAAACAAGCTGATGTTGTTCTGGCAGACCAGAGAAACGTAGGATTGATTCTTAAAGTTGAACATCCTCCAGTTTTAGGCAGTGATGGCTTTTGTACAAGCAATGAAGATAGTGTTGTTTATAGCACCCTGCTGGATGGCAGACAGCTGGATATGCCAAACACTGAAGCACTGTCCAAAGGTAAGGAACTGTAAATAGCTCTAGTATCTTGCTGCAGAATTTTAGTATGAAAACCATTCTCTCCGTCATGGTTTGTTGTCAGTTCTGATCAGCTGAGTAGCTAAGGTCATTGCAGCCGAACTGCTGCTTACATTTAATTCTTCAAAACAGCTGGCAGCAGCTGCCTAACCTAGCAGGTGCCTTGAATATCTACCGGTAAAGTCCTTTAATGCATCAGGAAAGATGCAATGGTCTGAAATCTAGGCAAACTCTTACACCGAGCTTAGACTTGAACACTGGCTCTTAGGACTCAGTTGCAGTAAAACCTTGGACAGGAGAGGCGTTAAAGAAGCCAAAGGCTGGATAACTGAAATGGTGAATGCCAAAACCACAGCCTTTTTTTTCCTAATGCATTTGTGTTCTTTGAACTGTTCCTTGTAGATATAGTTTTTGTTAGCTTTGCTCTCTCACATGAGGAGATATTCTACGCCAGGAAGTGCCACTTTTTCCTGACCGATGTCATCCTGGACTCAGTAAGGCAGAAAGATCCCAAAGAAATCACAGCCAAAGTTGGGACCCTTGTGAACAGGCTTTGGGTAGGTACAAGTTCCTAACAGCCTGGCTAAGCTGTGCTCACTCAGCTTCCCCAGGCTGTCGGTGGGGTGGCAGGCGTTAGAAACTCGGCTCTTCACTTTTGGCACCAACTGCCTGGCTGCTGCGGGAGCCACAGTTGTCACGGCTCTGAGCGGGGGGGCAGGGAACGGCTTCGGTCAGAATCACAAAGGCCAGAAGGGGAACACGGGGCTGCTCAGCGCAAGGCAGCAGTGGGGTGCTGGGTCCCTCTTTTAAAACCAATGGTTACCCCCTCCTCGAAGCAGAGGACCGGAGGACCAGCCTTGGGCAGGCTAGCAACTAAGGCACCCTGGGAGTGGTGAAGTGGTTTGGCCTCCAGTTGCTCCTGCAGTAATTAAGAAATAAAGAGCAGTGTGTCCTGCCCACGCAGCATCACAGCAGCCTCCTGCTGTCTGTGCACTGAGGTGTGCTCAGCTGTGAGGTTATGGCAGAAATAAAGGCCCTCAAGGGGCCAGGAGTTTCTGGGTTTTTTTAACTTGCACTGGAAGTAACTGACCTCACCTGCACCCCACAGCCCCTCCCCAGCAGTCCTGCCTTACGAGTGCCAACCAGAACTCTTCTCCCCTGGCAAAGGGGGAAAAAAGGTGTAAGGACAGGGACTTGGGAGAGCTTGCCCTTGTGTTTTGCTCTGCTAGTGTGCATCTGATTCCAGCCCTGCTACCTCACACCAGTCCTTCTTGATCTTACTAATAATTACCCCTGGCTGAGGCTGGACTGGGAACATCTCAATCCAATGGGTAACATCACTGATGGGATGCTGGGCACTGGCGAGCGCACCTGCCCGTTGATATGACTCTGTCATGTTCTGTATTGTAGACTCAGCAGATCACACCCAGGGAGTTTGTTGCTCATTTACTGAACACAGAGTACTTTAAAAGGAACAGAAATATTCATGAAGAGCTCCTTCAGTGGGTGGAAGTAAGTAGTGTTTGCCACCAGGTGATGCTGTACAGCTGAGCCTTCTTTTCTTCCAAATGCTGTTGGCTTTCTGTTTAAACTAGTTCACCCTTCCCAGTTCTGTTTGCAGAGTGAGTTGGGGGGGGGGGGGGGAGTCGTCATATTACAGCACAAATGGACTAATGTCACGTATAGTTTTAACAGAAGTTTAAAATTGTGCTGCTAATTTAGATTGCCCATAAAAAGTGGGCAGAGGACTTGTAGGGTTGTTAAGAAATGAAGCGCATTGGTGATGCTGCTGCTCTGCCATCAGTGGGTGATTGAATGGTGGCCTCAGTTTTGTGCTTTTTTTCAGTTTACCCTGCCATTTGCATGGAAGTACAGCTGCTGCCTCGACTTACTGATCCAGAGAGGGTTTGCTAAATCAGTCTCATATGTTGTCTTGGAAATGTAAGTTTACAGAACATTAATAAAAATTTGACCCAGCTACTTTTTGAAATGTTTTTATTTTCTTCTGGCAGGTGAAGAGGGTACACACCTCATCTGCCTGGGTAAGAAAAAGCCTTTTTGCTCAGCCTTCTTTTAACTTTGAACAGTGACTCTGTTTAGTCAGAAATGCTTGTAGCAGTCTTCTGCTTTAGGTAACGAAGGAGGGGATGTCATATCTTTATTAGTGACACGTGGGGTTTATTTAAGAGCTGATGCTTTCACAAGACAAAGACAGCAGCTCTGGCCCCCACGCACCTGTACAGCTGCTGTCCCTCTGTCTGCCAGGGTGGTCACGCCGTTTTTCCACCCGTGACCCAGCGTTCATCTCACTCCCGACCGAGGCTGCGGATAAGCTGTCACACTTGGGTGACTCCCTGAATAAGACAATGCTGGGCCAGCAGTTGGGCAAAAGCTTGTCCCCTCCCTGGGTCCTTATTTATCCAAAATGAACAGAAGAATCCTCTCTTTCTGCTAACATATTTGTTAGTATTATTTGCCCAGTAAAATTAGAATAATAATCAAAGGTCTACAGCAGTTACTTCATGTTTTATTTTAAGCACATTGTGCAGGCATGGCATTTCACTATTCCTGTTTTAAAACCTCTGCAGCTCTGGGGAGGAGAGGTGATGCTTCTCATCATGTGAACTCAAGCACGTCACCCTCACAACCTGATTAAAAAACCCCATAATTTCAGTCTCCCACCAGTATTTTGCAAGAGTATTTAGGTGCCCCAGGGAAAAACACTCTTCTCAACGCCTGTTTCCTCTTCTGCAGCCCAGGTTCCCATGCTGAAATCAAGATGCAATGCAAACAAGATTCATATAAAGAAAATAACCTTTATTAAACAAATAAATCAAACCCTGAAAAAAGTGTCAGGTAAACATTACTAAAGGTTTTTCCAGCAATGCAGAAACCTTTGAAACAGAGAAATTCAGGAAGTTTCATGTTCCTCTTGTTGCGTTAGTAAATTCTCTCCCTCTTGTGACATGAGCTATTGCTGTCTTCACAGCCCAAAATTCTTGCATTAACTTTGCAATTATTTTAAAATAGTAACTTCTAAAATCTTCCCTGTGCAACTGTTTCCCACACAATTTTGTACAAAGGTGTCAAACTGTGTTCTCTTTGCTGTCTAAAAAAAGAACAAGATTTAAAAAAACATCCAGCTTATTAAAAACAGACAAGTGTTTTATGTACAGTACAGGAATTCCCAAACTTGAAGAAACATGGTCCATATGCTGAAGGCAACTCAGGTGGCCGAGGTTTAACATCTGAGACTACAGCACTGCACTGTCAAGGCCCAGGCAGCTCCCCCATCCCAGCAGCCAGGAAGAGAAGACCGCAGTTCAAGACGTTACTGCTCCATCTTCTTCCTCAGGCTAAACGTGACACCACTGCCCTCCCATCTGGGGGGGGCACTTCATAAACTAGGAGTAAACAGGAGCTTGGCAGCAAGTAACTATAGTTTCCAAAAATGCTAATTTTAATTTCTTCTAAGAGCACGGAGAGTGTGTCACAGCCATGCAGTGAGCTTTGATGCTACTCACAAATAGGCAGCCTTGGAACACAGGGCACATTTGCACTCCAGTTACACTGTGCTACTTCAAACAACATGAATTTAAGGTTCAGCATTATAATCAACACATTATGCTCAAAACCTGTTGGCCTCAGATGCTACCACAATCCAAAGCTCCTCAAACAAGCCAGAACAGTGGGACTGAAGTACCTGGAGAGGGGCTGAGTCAGAGGCAAAGCAAGCAGCCAGTCCCCGTCACCCCAAAACCTGGGGCACAGCCTGGACGCCAGGACAAGGCATGCTGGAGTTTGAACTTTGCCACTCGCACCCTGTGCAACTGGAACCCGACCCCACAGGGAGAGAGAGACTTGCCACTGGGACAGCAGCTATGTGGGGTAAGGGGCTTAAATTAGAGCCAGGAAATGTGGTGATTTCTGCCTTCTGACCTCTGCCAGACAGCTCCCTCGTCATCACTCCTCATGACGTCTCTGCTGGCTGCTCTGAACACCCTGCTCTGCCTCAGGCCTTCCCGCCAGCATCAAGGAAGTCTCCACATGCTACTGCCTGGGATCTTCCCCCTCTCCCGGGGAACACGCTCAGGTTTGACATGGTTCAGCTGGCAGTTGGTTAGCACAGAAATTGCACAGGGAGACTGGAAAAGCTGACAGATGGTTAAGACAGAGATAAGCTCAGCACTGAGGCACTGGAAGAATCATCTGAAGAAACAATTCACTGAAACAATGAAATTGCTTTTATTAAAACAGAAGTGTTAAGCCAAGAAAATAAATTATTGCTATGATAGCATATTTAGAACATAAGGAAGGACATTAAATCTTGAGCTCCAGGTCAATATAACCCTGAAACAGAAAGTTACACTACTTTTCTTAAATATCTCAGTTTCTCTTCAAGCCCTTCCAAAAACTTTATAAAATGTGCAGCTTACAGAACAAATAGTAACAGAGTCACTTGTAACAAAAATCTGTACAGCTCATAGCTTTAAAAATAATACTTTTTTTTTTTCTCTCCAAACTGCTGTTACTTATTACTCATAAATATAGGGCTAACAAGTTTTGAATGCCCAAGGTCCCATCCAACACCAAAGCTATTATGTGTAGTTGACAGAAACCTTCTTGGGACTTCCCCCCAGCCAGAGGTCAGGTTTTGGACTGTTTGAAAGAGACTGATTATGTATTTAAAAAAAAAAAAAAAATCTTCATAGGTGAAGACTGTCTCCTTCTGCTGGTCAGAGGCCTGGGGTCTTCAGTGAGTTTGAAATGGCAATCAAACCTGGAACACAGCACCGTGCAATGGGTTAGACTGGCTGCACTCCCGTGACATGGCAGGATCCCACAGGTCCCTCTGTCCCGGGCAGCAGTGATTTTGCAAAACACCTGAAAACCACCATTTGTCAGAGCTACATTTTGGTGGGGAAACAACATTTTACTGGAATAGCGTCGCAGGAGAAGTGCGGCTCTTCCCCACACGGAGGGCTGCCTCCGCACCTCAGGACTCTCCCAACGGCTACATGCTGCTGGCCCAGCTGCAGCAGGCCAGCAAACCGTGCTGCTTCTGTGGCCACTTCAAACGTCTTGTCTGTGACCTGCCCCCAAGAAGGGGCTCTGGATCTTAAATTTTAACCTTGGCTGGTTCTGTTTAGCTGCTTATGAACTCCTGCACCTGCAGATCACAAGCCGTGGGCCTGCATGCTTGTAACCCCGCCACAGTGCCAAACCTATGAGCCATCTACCACCCTGCACCTTGACCACAGAAGCCCTAATCCTGCCTCTCTCGTGTTCATACCCCTCAGCTCCCTGTGAAAAGGGAGGCTCAATCCTAAAGACAGAGAGGAAAAGCTGAGCCAGGAGCAGGCTAGTCTGAGTGGGGCGTGACATGACTTTCCAAGGGCTGCCACCCACACGAAGGAAACCCTGCTTGGCTGCATGTCTCGCCAGGGCTCATCCCTCCTGAGATCAACAGCGATTTCCTCGCAGACAAGACATCCTCCAGAAATCAGTAAGTACAGGAGCAACATCTGGCAGCTCCCTCTGGTCATCCTGACCATAACCTAGCACGTTCCTTTGCCTGGTGACATGCAGTTTCCTTTGGAGGTTCAAAGGAAACTGTGGAATAAATCCAGCTTGGGGAGAATACCATGGATTCCCCAAGGCACTTCAGAGGGACTAACGAAGAGCAGGATTTCGGCAAACAGCCACAAGAAACAGATTAGTGGTTAGACAGCTGGGGAGCATTCAGAGGAAAGAAACTCATCTGAACACTGATGACTAGGTGGTGCTCAAGCCTCTACGACCTGAAAGTGATTTTGCTTGCTTTGCTTCTGCTCCTTCAAACCCAGGAGGCATCAGACTGGCTCTATGGGAGCCATCTCTGTGGGAGCTGGTCTTCTCTAACCAGATGAATCAGAGCCTCGGAGACTGGTCAGAAATGTGTGTGGAAAACTCACTGAGAAGCAGAGGGTGAGGTTCTCCTGATTCAGAGCTACTGACAAACCTGACCAGCACTCAGAGCTGCTGGAAAATCCCCTTCAGGGGCTACTTACAACAACTCCACTTCCTTAGGCGGTATACGTGTGCAGAGGGGCTCACACTATTGTCGAGGGACTTATGGTGACCTGGCCTGCTTTCTGCAGAGGAGAGAAGCCAGCATTAGTACAGGGTTAGAGGACAACAGCATCAGGACACAATCTAGTGGGAAGGGAAGCAGCTGAGAACTCTCAGGAACGTAAGAGGAGACACATTAACATCTCAGAGCAACAGGCTTCTGCTCCTCCATCTCATCACTCCCCAGAAATGGCCCAAGCCCCCCAGGAAAGGAGCTGAGCAGCATCTGTAGCAGAGCTCCATCCATCCCAGGAGGTTACATATGTACCCCAGCCCATGACAGCATTAAAGCTCCTGTGTGTGCAGCATCCCCTCCTGGTGCAGCCTCCAGCACTGCAGGTCCTTTCCAGTGCATCTCCTTGGGGATCTTGGCCACTGCAGGGGAGGCTCTCACAGCAGAGGGGCTTTCACCTGCTCCAGAGGAGGTGAGTCTCTGTAAGAGGAAAGGTCACTTCCCCACAGTGACTCCTAGCCCAAAAGCAGCATCTTCAGTCCCCCCCGTGAAGGGCAGTGGCTTGAACCGGGGAGGCAGTTGCAGGAACAGGCAAAGTGAAGAGAGTATTTTGGCTGCTTGCACTTACTGCAGAAATGTACTGGCTGTTTGTGAACCTGGGTTTCTCCTCCACTGCAGAGCTGTGTTGTGAGCCTAGGGGCATGTAGGGGGGTGAGCCCATGTCTTCACAGAAGCTTTCTTGTGGGATGCTGGAGACACAGCCACTGTCGGAGCCACTGGAGCCGCTGCCTGACATGCAGTGCGATGACTCTGAGCTCTCTGTTGCTAGGGGAAGAGAGGAAGGTCACTCTAATGATCGTGAATTTGGCCTACATGACCTGTACCACATACATGTGGTAACATACCTGTTTGCAGAGGCACTGGCCACTCAAGCCCACAGATCAGCCACACCCCTGTCTGGACCTCTTTAAAGCCACAGTCAACAAAATAACCCAAGGAAGTGTGGCAAATTATGGTGGAGATTGGTATAGACTGCCCAGTGAAGTTCACAGAGGGGAAGCCAGGGGGTCACTGGACCAGGCTGGAGAGAGCAAGGGACAGAGTGCCTCATACCAGAGGCGCAGGCAGGCAGAGACACAAGCACTGGTCTCCAAGGTCACAGCAGCCCTAGCATGCGGCACCAAGCCCACCACTGGGATGGCTGCAGGTTGGTGAGCACTTCACTGATCCCTGTGTCTGAGCTAACTCCCCCCATGAAAGCTAAGACAGAGCTGGCATGGAAGTTTGGCTATGGGGCAGGGACTGCCATGACCCCAGCAAGCCTGGTGTGACCGCACAGCGCAGAGCAAGATGTGGGGATGAGCCCGCACATCCTGGGGCACGTTGCAGAGCAGCGGGCTCATACGTACTCAGTGAGGGCTGGCTGCTTGTCTCGTGCTCCAGCTCATCTTCCTCGATGCAGGTGCCAATATCAAAGGGGCGGCTGGGGGCCAGTACGCCTGGCAGCAGAGCCTGGTCCAGGTACATGTGGAGGTTGAGGGGCCCCAGCAGGGAGGAGGAGGAAGGGCTGTATGCAGTGGGACTGCTGCCAGCGGAGAGCTGCACCTGTGTCCTCTTGTACGGGTTGGAATGGTCAAACAGAGACACCGCAATTGATGCTCTGGTCCTGGCACCTGCCAGAAAACATACCAAAAAAGCCCTGAGCACTAGTCCTGCCTAGCTCACACAGAGCGAGGGGGCAGGCACAGCTGGCACTCACCTCTGCCTTTCATGATGTAATCGATAGCACGGTCATTGATAGCCGCCTCACTGGGTTTGATATCCAGGAACAGCTTGTTGCCCACACCCATGGAGACCATCTCCTGCATACGGATTTCTGGAGGGGAAGAGACCCACAGCCATATTGTGAGGTTGCTCCAACCCACCCCATGGGTGCTATGCAGCCCCAAGCCAGAGCACTCCTGGGCCAGGCTGCTCCTGAACTACTGAGATTAGATCTGTTCGCCCCTTGCTCCCCAGTCCTGAGGAGTCTCCACAGACAAGCAATCACGCCCTGCTCTGGCCAAGTAGCTCAGTGCCATGCCACCTACGAGAGTCCTGCCAAGCGGGAAGCCTGGGGCAGAGAGGAGGGACTCAGCCAGACAGCTGCCACTCCAGTAGCGGCCTAGATCACGGGGAGAGCAGTGAGCCTTTCAGGAGCACAGCCCACACTCACAGGGCAGGGAACTCTGTGCTAGTATCTCCCGTTTCTCTCTCAGAGTCCAGGCGGGTGCCTACAGTCACAGAGCTTGGACTGGTCAAGTTCTCTGGGGATGAGAGGCAGGGAAGGGACATGCCCAGCCAAGCCCAGCACATGCTCCCAGGGCTGCATGCTGGCACACAGCTGCTTGCTGCACAGAGCTGCCTGGTAACAGGCTCCAAACCTACTCAGGACAGCACGAGCTGAACAGGGCTCCCGCACCTTTTGCGGCACAGATGCCCCAGGAAGGAATCACACCTTTATTGCGGGCTGCCTGCTGCCACAGGATCTTGGCAATGTCACTGGTCCAGGCCTGCTTAGTGTCAGCTGAGCTGGCCTGGAGGATGTAGGTGTCACTGGACTTTCGCCTTCGGAACCAGATCTCAAAGCGCAGGCCACTGTCTCCAGAGTTCTCTGTCAGACCAATGTCTGCAGTCTGCCAGAAGAAGGAAGAGCAAAGCATCAACTGGGGCTCCACTAGGAGCAGAAAGTGTAACCGCTGCCTGCACCCTGTGCCAGAGCTACCCCCAGCGCTTCATCCAGAGTCAGCACCACCTCCCTGCCACACACACACTGTCTTTCCCTCACATTCTGCATCCCTCAGAAGACCTTGGCCCCACATCTCACAGCATGGAAGGGGCCCAAGCATTAATGTGTGAAGTATTCCCTTCTGGCTTCACTGCATGGCTTGAAGAAGGCTTAGCAGTGGTGGGAGCAGCTCTTCTGCTGAAGGTACTCCTCCTGCTCCTACTCCCTGTTTCAGAGCCACGTGTCCATGGGGAAACCAGCCATGGACACCTTCTGCACAACAGGGAGCTGCAGGGCTGCCCTTACCTTGAAGGAGCGCTTGTAGATATACACATCAAAGCCACCCTCGATCTTCTTGGGCTTGCTGAACAGGATCAGGTCCTCAAAGAGGAAGACATGCCGCTGGCACTTCCTACGGCCCAGCCAAATGGTGAACTCATCCTGCCGCACCAGCTGCCCCTGCTCCTTCAGGTTCACCTGGACACAGGAAACATCCCGGTTAAGACCCCAGCAGGATCAGCTCCAGGCAACCTCAGGCCTGGATATGGAGAGCAGGGTCCCATATGGCTGTGGCCTAGGTGGTAAAGAGGTGGCAGCTACCTGTCATTTTAGGAGGGCTCTTAAAGACGTAGGGCTGCATGGCACTGCTAGAGGCCACATCAGGCTGAAACAACTGGCCCAGAGCTCAGGGGAGAGCTGCACCTCTCTCCTAGGCATGGCACACAGATGACACTCTGCTGTCACCCTGTGCAGATCTGTGACAAACCTCTAGGGTGGCAACTGGAGGCAGCAGCCAGAGCATTATCTTAGGAGGAAGAAGAGAGCTGAAGAGGAAAGGAGCCCCATCAAACTGCCAGGAGCACATCTGGGTCAGAAGGCCAGTCCCCCAGTTCTTCCTGTCCCAGATCCATCTTCCTCCACCCTGAGCCCTGTGGTTTCCCCTCCTCTAGCACTTTGGCATGCCGCTCCTTCAAGTCCCACCTAGCTGATTTTGGCCCACCCCTGGCATCAATATCAGTTTGAATGCCTGACCCAGCTCACTATCACCAGCTCAAAAGAGATGGAAGAGCCCAGGGCAGCCTGCAGGACACCATCTGCAAGGGCTGCCAGGCTGCCTCGCATCACCAGTAAGCACCTGGGAGCATGTTTAGAACGAGCAGCTCACCCAGCTCAAGTAACAGCATCCAGGCTGTCTGTCCTAGCGGATCAAGGAGACCTCCAAGCCCTGCTGTTCCCTTGCCCTTGTCCTGGTTTTGGCTGGGATAGAGTTAATTTTCTTTCTAGTGGCAGGCATAGTGCTGTGTTCTGGATTTAGTGTGAGAATAATGCTGATAACACACTGATGTTTTAGTTGTTGCTAAGTACTGCTTATGCTAGTCAAGGACTTTTCAGCTTCCCATGTTCTGCCAGGTGCACAAGAAGCTGGGACGGGGCACAGCCAGGATAGTTGATCCAAACTGACTAAAGGGCTATTCCATACCATATGACATCATGCTCACTATATAAACCGTGGAGAGCTGGCTGGGGGGCAGCAATCACTGCTCAAGGACTGGCTGGGTGTTAGTCAGCAGGTGGTAAGCAGTTGCATCACTTGCTTTTTTTTCCTGGGTTTTGTTTCTCTCTCTCTCTCTTATTGTTCTCCTTTTCATTACAATTTTTATTACTATTATTATTATATTTCAATTATTAAACTGTTCTTATCTCAACCCACAAGTTTTCTTACTTTCGCCCTTCTGATTCTCTTCCCCATCCTACCGGGGGGCGGGAAGGGTGAGAGAGCAGCTGTGTGGTGCTTGGTCACCAACAGAGCTAAACCATAACAACCCTGTATCTCAACAGTCCTGTAGAGAGTATTGGCAGATGGCACCCTGATCACTGTGGGAATTTGAGGGAAGGCTCACCATACAATCCAAAGACCCCAAATCTAGAGAATGGGAAGAAGTGTGGCTCTGCCCCCCCAGGCAGGGGAGGACACTGGAACATACGTCACAGTCGCGGATGGCATCCATGGCCAGCAGGTCATTTCCATGCCGGAGCTGAAACTTCACCATCTCCTCAGCTGCACGGAGGTAGCCCAGCTCCTGCTCTTGTGCCTCACTGCACTCCTTGATCAGGTCCTTCAGGAGCAGGGCGTATTTGCTCATCCGCTGGATGGGTTTCAGCAGGTAGGAGGCCAGGTCCATCTTATCCCCAAGCTGCACCTGCTTGAACTGAGAAACACAGCAGAGTGACGGCAGCAGCCTCCCGGGGAGAGCCCGGTGCCCCAAGGCAGGCACTGACACCCACAGCTTTCCTGACAGGGGTACTCTGTTCTCTCTGCAGGGAAATGCAAGGCCATAGGACCAATGCTGCTGTGTGCTGTGCTCCTTTCCAAAGCACTCACCACATCTCTGCCCCTGTCCCCCCACATACACTTGTGCAGAAAGCTGTGCCAGGAAAGCAGAGATAGTGCTGAGCATGCCTCAGGTAGGAAAGTTGGGGTTGTTTAAACAGATCAGTGACCCAAACACCAAGAGCAATTGTGATGTAGGCAGTGGAATTTACCTTGAAGAAGGTATTCCCGTGGCTGGCCAGCAGCGAGTCCGACTTTGGCTTGTTCTTGCTATACAATGCATACATCCCAAACTGGTCTTTCTGCAAAAGAGATCCTCGCATGAGACCAACGCACACCCAGGATTGTGACAGCCATGCCCTGGGTTGGTTACTCTAGTACTTCTGCCTCTCCCACACTGCACCAGAGCCTCCTATGGCATCAAGAATGACTTTGCTTCAAGTTCATTACAAGCCAGGGAATGTTCTTGTCTTCCTACTCCTACTGTAGCTAAGACTTTTTAATCCATTGTCCTTTTACCCCTTGCACCTTACATATCCCAGCAAATACCATTCACCTAGTAGCAGCAAACATACATGGAGCAGCTGAGCTTAAGACTGATGCCCCATGTTTCTCCCTAGCAGCCCTTTTCAACAAGAGCAGCAGGTCCATACCCCTCCACTCATTAAAGTCCTTCCACACTGACACCACAGACAGAAGACAGGGTAAGGGATGGCCCTGCAGAAGCAGGTGGGTTTTAAGGAGCAGACATTTTGCTTCCCTGGCAGTGTCTCTTGGTAGCAAAGAACAACAGGAAAGGCAAAGAGCATCTACTGCTGCCTGGGCTCAGCTTTGCAGAGCCATCCCAGCCCAACCTAGCATTTGAGCTGGCAGGGGACAAACCAACCCAGCACAGGGTAGTCCTCCTGCTCCCAAAGAGCCACTAACATGCAGGTGAGCAGCCAAACGTATAGGCACTGCTGGCCATAGGAACCAAGCACGTGTCTGGAGGAGCCCAACCCCAGGAGGAAGGTGCTGATGCCTTACGTGTCGGAGGAAGCAGTGGCTGACTCGCAGTGGGTGGTTGCAGCAGCTCTCAAGCTCTCGCAGGAAGTACTGGCTGTGGAAGTCGTAGAGTTTCTCCAGGTTCCCAAAAATGACGCTGCGCTTCCCACGCAGGTCCTGGGGGAGGTCGAGGCGCTCCATCTCAGGGAAGTAGCTATCGATGATGTAGCAAAGCGACCTCACATATTCCCGCTCCGTGGTTACCATCTCATCAATGATGTGCCGCAGCTTGCTGCAATAGGGAACACTCAAGCCTTGAAGGGACACAGACTGCAGCGGGGCTAGAACAGTCTAAGAGTGCCTGCAAAGCACTGGGCTATCCCTAGAGAAGCTCTCCCCAAGACCCAACACGGAGATGAGATGATCCCTTAGCACCATCCAAGCTCAGATTCAGAACTGCCTGTGGTAGCTCTGACCCTGAGCACTGACAATGAGCACTTGTGGCTGGTCCAAGGAACTCCGTCAGCTTTTCTGTTCAGGAAGGGCAAGCCCCAGGCTGCCTGTGGTGCTGACCCATCCTCAGCAGGACACACATCCCTGGGCCCACCCAGCCCCTGCTCTGGACAAACAGGCTGCTCTGCAAACGGCTACACTCTTGAAACAAGAGGGACAGCAGAAATCACGATAATTTCTGTGAGGAGGAGTCAGCCTGATGACTGGATGCTGTGGGAGGCATCTGGGAGAACACAAGCTCTGGACCCAGGTGCTGTTGGGCTTGTCCCAGTAGAAATGAGAGTGGGAAACAAACCTTGTATCACAACAGCAGTTCCTAGCACAGTTTGCTCTGCACATCTCCAAAAGGTAGCGCACATCACTCTTAGGTACTCAAGGTTTCCACTGTGAGGCAGTGCTGCACCAAACATAACTTCTCCAATGTGTGCCTGCCTTCCCTGCCTCTCAGCTTTCCCCCAAGCCAACTCCTCTGGCTGTTCAGAAGACGGAGAAGCAGGACTGCCTCAGCACCCACAGGTGGAAGGGCTGCTGCCTCACTCCCTTGAGAAGCAAAGCAGTTAGCCTATCTGCTGCTGTTCTTCCCCTGCCATGAGCTTTCCTGACACATGCTAGGATATCAGAGGCCCCTTCCAGAAGATTTCACTGTCCCCAGCCATCCCACCCAGAGCAGAACCAGTTGAGAAGCTCTGCAGTCCCCCTGCATCCGGCACTCGTTTCTCATCCCTGCCACCATTTTTTTTTTTTTTTTTTTAATATGTCTTTTCCAGTGAGAGCAGCTGTAAGACCTGCCCGGTGACCCGCTTTCAAGAACAGCTCACATCCCTGGGCCCTCTGTAGCCTAGGCACATTGCAGTATGACAACAAAGTTACATTCAGATCCTCAAGGACAGAGAATGAAAAAAGAAGAGAACAAGAGCCAGCTCTTGGTCACCCAAACACAGAGAACTCAGCCCCAAAGGGAAAATACAAACACCCTCTTACCTGTGAAGCTACTGTCACAGGGTACTATGCCTCCCTACCAGTCTGGGTACAGCACCCCCCCAAAGTGTGCGGGATGATGGACTATGCTTCTGCTCTCCCGCTATACCTGTACCACTGGTTGCTAGGTCCCTGAATACTGTGTTTCTGCAAACCCTCATCATCCAATGCCAACAATGTTCAGAGACTCCCTTGCCTGCCTGGGAACTGCTCTTTCTCCTCTTATGGAGGAACCATGCTGTAGGGGAAGAGCAACAGATCCCATTTCCCTGTCTCCCACCAGAAGCAGGTGCCAGGCTACATAGGGACATCCCTGTGGGCCTGCCCAGCACCACACACGTGTGTGCAGGGACGCTAGAGCTACATCTCCATCTATCTGCCCGGTACCCATTACCAAAGTAACTGTCACTACAGAGCTCTTCACATCTTTGCTGGCTGCCTTTTAACCACCCTCAGGACCAGAGCACCAAGTGTCACAGCCACTTACCTGCCCCAGCTCTTGGCTTCTGACACGGAGAAGCAGCCCCTCTGTCCCTCCAGCAGGCAGTCTGCAGCCCAGCTGTGAGCGGCTTGCTGCCGCAGCGCAAAAGTCCTGTCCACCAGCTCAGTGCTGCTCACCTCCAGCCCTTTAATAAAGACTCCAGTGTTGCCGTATCTGGCTGGTTCACTCAGCGTCCTCTGGCAGCCTGACCACAGGCTCTCACCGCAGGGGAGGTCAAAGCTTTGGGCCTTCCGGAGCATCCTCCTGGGAGGTGGCTTCCCAGAGGCTGGAGTGGAGGTGCAGGATGGCTTCACCTCTAGGGTTTCTAATATGCTCTCCAAGTTTGGCTTTTCTTCAGGCAGCTTTGCAGACTTGGAGGCCCCGCTGGCAAAAGAAACTCTGCTCAAGTGAGGACCAGGGCTGAGAACAGCTTGGCAGGCAAATTCTTCTGCAGCACTGACATCGCCAGGGCAGCTCAGTGAGGGCGAGGAAGCCTTACCCTTAGTCCACC